TGGAGGAAATCCTTTCAGAGGAAAAACCCCAAATGAAAAGAGCACTTTCACATCTGGCCTGGTATTCTGGAGAGCTGCCTGGTCGGCTGCAATCAGCATCGCTGCGAATAACAATTTCCCTGATCCATCAAACCTACAGCTATGTTTTCCTTGAACCATCTTCCTCACCCGTCGCTCTTTCTGTGAGCCGACGAGTTGGAGCTCCGAGCAGGTAGAAAAGCCGAGCTTTCCTCGTCTGACGGGAACACCCAAACAATTTTGTCTAATCGTTCTTGGTCAGAGCAGCAAGTAAGACGAGCTGAAAATTGAACTTGACCGCGCTGTGTTGCTGTGAGATGGTTTCTAAAATTACCGGCAGAAAACTGCAGACAGCCCTCCTTCTTTAAACTAATGAGAGCTGTGAGCGAGATGACAGTAGCGTAATGACAGTAATGTACCTTGGGGTGAATGAGTTTGTTTTAACTTGCACGCTCTGTTAGCTGTGCTATCTTTTGAGCGGTGGTTTGGTTTGGAGGGAGGGTTCCTTTGCTTTGGTGGTGCGCATGGTCGGCGCACTTCACTTTCATTACATTAACAGAACAATGGCTGTTCAGCGGTTTGGCTGCTTCGGACACTTTTGAGAACAATGGCTATTTTTCATAAACAAATCAATTACAGCCACATAAACAGATGAGATGATGTTTTCATAAATTATAGGGTATGATTTCTTAAAAAAGAAAGAAAAAGACAGCTTTTTTGAGAAACTCCAGAGATTGATTTCTCTAAGAAACGGGTGACGTTGTGTAGTGGCAGGCGCCGCTGTAGCTTTAAGTGGTGCTCTTGAGGGCTGGATGTCAGTATCTGCTGCCATTTATCAGATTTGAGCTGGCCTCAGTTTGCAAGCAGCTTCCAAAATCCAAATGTTTTCAGGGTGGTAAGGAAGAGGTCTCAGTCGTCTGTCAGAGGACAAGGGAACTCTTTCAGTGTGCCACATGGACTTGGGTAGAGCATATGTTTATATTTACTGTACGTTATGAGGGCTTGGGCACATGCCACCCCGCTGTTTCACTCTGGGCACCAGTTTTACTCCACCCAGCCTCAATTAAGACACACAAGGAGCTGTTTGAATCTCTTTCTAAACACAACATGACAAATAACTGTATTGTATATTGTTTGATCCCCCTCGGCTGCCATGACTCTTTGCAGCACACCACCGCTGTGTCATTGACTGCTCTGTGTTATGTCTGCTCTGAGAAAGTAATGATTTGTGTAGACCGTTGCTAACAAAATGTGAATTGTACGACTTCTGAGAGGCTGGGACGGTGCCAAGGCCGGTGGAGCTAGGGCGTTGTGAGAGCTGGGGAGGGGTGCTGGGTTTATATGGTCGAGGTGGTTTTAGGCTGAGTTGTTTAACTTAGATAATATTGGATATCATCCAGCACAGTGGGCCAGAGAGTTAGAAACCAAATTGTGCTCGCTGAAATTTGGTGGGAGGGGAGCTGGAGAGAAACTGCTGCCGAAGTTTTTCATTGGATCGGTGCAGGCTTTGCGCAGATGTTGCCCTATAACTCTGGAACATTCTGTGGTTATCAATTACATTCTGTGGTTATCAATTATCCGGTACAGTCTTTTCAAACAAAGGCATCCCACGCATTCAACTTTTCAAAGCTCCTTCTCTCTCTTTTTTTTTTTTAGCTCTTGAGAAGTTTCCTGGCAGTAGGTAGCTGGGCACCGAGAACAAATTGCTCAATTCAAATTTTCTATCTTTGTGATGATGTGAAAAATGATGTGCGTGAGTCAGAGAGAGCGAGGGCAAAAGCAGACGGGGAGAAACAGACAGAGACGTTGAGGGAGATCTAAAAAACATGTTCATCTCCTGTGGATTGACAATGACTGGAAAGGCTTCCCTTCTGGAGAGCTTCCTGAAGTGAGGAGACAGAGTGGGGTTGAGAAAACAGACAAACGCGCAGATTTTAGTGTTAGTCACGTTAACTATTTTTAAAGTTTGTCAGCGCTGCTTACGTAAAGATATTCTTTTCACTGAGAACTTCCTGTATGACGAGCTGTTTTTCTTCTCTTTTCTGTTTATAGGGAGGTTTCTTTGCCATATTGTTTATAAATCTTATGTTTGAATCATAATATCACACACCAGTCTGTGTGTGTGTGTGTGTGTGCACTTCCCATAACTCTACACCTTGCATCTGTACCAGATTATCTTGAAGCTTTCAGAATGCTGTTTACATTTATTATCTCTCAGATTTCATTTTGTTTTTAGAATGAAAGTAGACCATTTATGCTTCCCTTCATTTCTCTCATACCTGTATCTTTACAGTGACGAATGCTCCTACTGAACATATCCAAAGTTGAATAATTAATTAACTATATGTAGAAGCAATCCCCTCGAGGCAAAAGCTAAGGCTTCGTTTCAGACAGTCTTTCTTACTTTTGGATCTTTATGATGTCAGTAGCACACAGCTCGGGCTGTGAGCACAGTGGCCCCACCCACAACTCTTTTGAGGGGCAACCAATCAGAAGAAAGTTATTTTAAAGGTAACACATGTAGTTTCAGACAGAGGATGAGCTGAGGGGAGGCCCAGTTGGAGATGATTGATGATTATTTTGAACTGTGAATCATGCAAAGCATCTCTAGTAGAGTCCAAGAAGAGAAATGTGGAGCCAGACATGAACATAATGAGCGTCCACAGAGAGAGTGAAAAATGTAGGTAACGAAAAATTTATTGTCATAAGCTGCCACTTTTTTCTCAGAAGTTTCATAGTGTTCCTGTCAGTAAGTTATAAATATTTCACGTAGGAGGTTGTCGTATATTCCCCTTCTGTCTTCCTCTCATACCTTCATGTTTCATCTAGAACGGTCACGAGGATGAAGATTTGAATGATGAAGTAGGTTTTTTTTCATTTTGTTTATTGTATAAGTGCTTACTTATACTAATTATTGTATTGTGGGCTTTCTTTCTATGATAATGTAATATTTACACTGGGTTTTTAAAGTACTAAAGAGACCGTGTAGGGAAAATTGACTTGAAATGGAATTAAAATATTTTACCAGTGAAAAAAGACAAACATACAACAAGTAATAGCAAGGTTTTATGATATATGTTGAGTTGCACGCAACAAGGTTGCACGAAGAGACGTATTAAGTGTCATCTGGAAGACAAGTCGAACCTGTTGATGTATCTGCAGCGTTCACAGGCTGCGTTGCATTGTTTCCTTTTTTCTTTTCTGGTTTGCAGCTCGTCAGAAATGTTCTTTCCATCCCTTTGAAGTCATTTCAACCACTTACATTTACATGTGTATATTGACTGTAGCATAAACATTATGCATTATTAAGCACTGTGTGGCTAATGGCAGCAGAAACCATGTCAGATGTTTGATATTTAGCAGAAATAATAAGTGATCTTTTAAATGTCTAACAGAGCAGGCTTAAAAAGAAAACTTTGCTCTAATAGCTCAGCCCCAGTTCCACATTCTTACTTACAGCAGGTGCACTGAAAAATTGACTAAATTATAACAAGCAGAGCCTGTATTGTAAAAACAGTATTTGAGACAGGCTTCTGATTGTTGAAGAGTTTGAAAATATGTCTCCAGAAGTGACAGCTCAGCTCTCAGTTGAGCCCCTCTCAGGTTTCCCTCGAGTTATTACCAAAGTGACAGCACACTCTATCTCAGCCTTTTTTGTTGGTTTTTCTTGGATGATAGTCCGTCTGTTTTATATGAAGGAGTTCTGTGGAAACATTTGGTAAAAAAAAAAAAAAAAAGACTTTTATTTTGTGTTTAGAGTTAAAGTTGAAATAATGAGCGTAAACTTGACACTCGAAGATTCAAATCGTCTGAGAGGAATTTGTAGCCCTATTACTCATTCGAAACGAATGCTATCGCTTCTTCCTGGAGAGCAGCAACCCTGAAACTCTAATGCTAAGTGTCAGGCATGTGCAGCAGCTATAAGAAAAATGAAAGTGAGATCAAACAGAGCAGAGAGAGGTCTCCGGCTCTCCAGTCAGTGCTAAGCTGCACCTCCTCCATCTGTGCCACCTCACAACTCCCGTCTACTCAAACACCGAGCGTCCCGTCCGTCTCCACTGAGCTGTCAGCTCCATTCAAACGCTCCACTTGTCAAACTGCAGGCATCATGTTGAGCGACACTGAGTCAATTTTCTTCAAAAAAAAATTTGGCCATGGCTGACTTTTTCTTTCTTTTAAAGTAAAGCTTTCAATTTCACAGCCCTTTAATGTCAATTTAGAGCCTTGTTAATGAGTCAGGGGTCTAAAGAAATCACAGCGGTTTCCCTCCGTCTAATAAATTGGTTGAAAATTATAGTTTTACTCACACCTCATTGGGCAAAATGACAAATCAAACCCGAGCTTTTTTTAGCAGGCCTGTGTTTCCAGCAGTTCACATGATGCCTCGTTTTATTGCCTGATGGGAAAACCTTTTTTATTGTGGCAGCTAAACAGAAGAAAAAGCACATTACCAGAAAAGAAGAGAAAAAAGTACCAGTACCGTTTAACAATCATTATATGGGGATAGCGGAAAGATTCCTATGAGAACAGAAGAAATGAGAGGTTTGAAAGTCGAGGCGAGTTGTCAGTTTCCAGTCGCCGCGCATTAACGAGCCAACCAGCTGCTCGAGCATGTTGGGATTCCACACAGCGATGAAGTCAAGCTTTCTCTCATCCACCAAAGATGTCGCTCATCTCTTTGGTATGACTGCTTTTCTTTTTTTTTTCAGGATTGCATCAGATTTCTCTCTGTGCGATTTTGCTGTCTCGAAGTCTGTCCCCGGTTTGTTAGACCGAGGATATGAGCTCATGAGCCGTGGGTCAGACAGTGTGACGTTCGTGATATCCTCCGCTCTCCGGAGCTGTTTTATACATCACTGATGTAACCGATAATAATAACAACACTCATTGCATTTCTTCATTTCTGCTGGGAGCCAAGTAGGTGGGTTATTTTCTGAACCGTCGTTGCTAAGTCTTTCTCTCTTTCCTGTCCTTTCTTTTAGACGGTCACCACATCTGGGAGACTGAGGCCAAGGTTGAGAGAGACGCCTCGAAGCCTGTAAGTGATACATGTGACACAGTGATCGTGACAAAGCTGATCTCATTTCAGGATTAAAGCGCTCTGTAAAGAGCAGCTGTTCCCAATCATTTATCTGAACTCGATGCCAAAATGTTTAGTCTTCGCATCTGAAAAACAATCTAACGTCTAAATTAAGAGAGCGACTAGAGCCCCACTCAGTGTGATGAAGAACAACCTGCCTTAGCAACAACAACGCAGTTGTTGTTTTTTTTATTGAATCACAAATCTGCTGTAAACTTATACATAATTAGATGGGAAGTTCAAGAAGTCTTTAAAATTTGTAAACTATTCTAGTCATTCATCTACTAGCTTAGCATAAACCTGTAAGGAAAGGCAAAATAACCCAACCCCTTAGCTAATACTACAAAAAGAATGTGTGTTCATTATTCAACTGTTATACTTTTTATATCTGATCTCTTGTTTATTTACAAGAAATATTTTACAGGGCTGGAAGAAACTAAGAGGGCACTTACCAAACACTTCCTGTTTCTGTACTGGACACACTTTTGCCTTCACAACTGCCTTAATTCCTCAGTTTTTCATAGCATAGATTCAACAAGGGGCTGAAAACACTCCTCATATATTTTTGGTCCATAATGACACGACAGCATCGCACAGTTCCTGCACATTCACGACATGAATCTGTTGTTCCACCACGTCTCAAGGGTGCTCTATTGGATTGAGATCTGGTGACTGTGGAGGCAATTTGAGTGCAGTAAACTCAATGTCATGTTCAAGACACCAGTTTGAGATTATTTGAGTTTTGTGACATGGTTTGTTATCCTGCTCAAAGCAGGCATCAGAAGTTGGATACACTGTGGTCGTAAAAAGATTGACAAGGCCACTAACAATGTTCAGGTGTTTATGTGACACTCCTGAAGTGTGTCGAGAAAGCATCCCCCACATCATTACACCAGCCTGATGATTGTTACCAGACAGGATGGATCCATGCTTTCATGTTGTGATGAGTCCGTGTGAAGTGCAGCCTTGGCTTCCTATTCTTAGCTGACAGGAGTGGCAGCCGGTGTGGTCTTCTTCTGCTGTAGCCCATCTGCTGCAAGGTTTCACATTCAGAGATGATCTTCTGCTTACTTTGGTTGTAACAAGTGGTTATTTGAGTTACTTTTGCCTTCCTGAGATCTCAAAGCAGTCTGGCAATTCTCCTCTGACTTCTGGCATTAACCAGAAGGCATTTTTTCACCCAGAGAACTGCTGCTCATCAGATATTGTCTGGTTTTCAAGCCATTCTCAGCACTAGATGCAGTAGATCAGCAGTTTCTCAAATGGCAGCAACAATGATGCGATTGAGAGTCACTTAAATCATCTCAGCAGATCACCTTGACCATGTCTACATGTCTATTTGTGCTGATGGTATGTGATTGGTTGATTACACATTTACATTAACAAGCAACCAAACAGGTGTACCTAATGAAATCCCTAATGAAGCATCAATACCAGCGTTGCCTTTTGTTCTGAATCAGTAAACTGTGACTGTAACAACAGCGCTGATTTCCTCAACCCAGGACAGAAGCTTCAGTGTTGTGTTTGAAATGTGTGGAAAAGGTGTTCAAAAGTTCAGCCCTCCACCTGTGGGGGTTTGAGCCTGGCAGTGTATCCTGTCTTGCGCTCAGACAGCTGAGGGAAAGACAGAGCCAGAGACGTGGTGGGAGTCTGGGAGATAGACGAGGGGATTAGAGCGTGTATAAATGTGAAGCTCTGCACCTGCTCCCAGTGTCTTCCCTCTGCAAAACACAGACACACACTCACTTAGAGTGGCTGCTGGGGCACATCTGGCTGCTCGAATAGACAAAGGGCCTCCCTCTCTCCGTCCCTCCCCACTCAGTCCAGTCTGCTGGATTGGTCCCATTTCAAACACTGACGCTGCTTTGGCCAAGTTTCATCTCAGACCAAACAACAAATCCACAATACGTCACCTGAACAGACTGACCTGCTCCAATGAGCGCAGATCTGGGAAGACGAGGGATGATTACGTTTTCTTTTTAAGAATTACTTATAATTAGATACAGATTTCTCATATAAACCTAGATAGATGGTCTTGACGCACTCACTTAGGGAGTCCAAAAATGCTCCTCTATGCTCAATTTGTCACATTTTTTTCCTTCCCACTGTTTGCATGATAGGAACCCGTTTTATTATATTAAACCTCCCAGACCTTGTTTTGCGATTTTCTTTTGCTTTTTGTGTTTGTTTTAACTCAATTTGCAATTTTATGATGTAACACACAAAATGCAGGCATAAAACTTTCAGAAATATTTGAATGACTTCAATTACATGTGACACCAGTGGAATCCTGCAAATACAGCTGCCTAACACAGTTTACACAGTACAATGGATTTCAGGGAGTAAGAAAAGTAGAAAAGCCTCATCTGGCTCCACTTAGCTTTACAGTGGTAGTGATTTAATATAACGTGTGTCAGCTCTCACCTGTACATGTCAGGCCCGGCCGTCCTCCGAAGCTCAGTCTTGCAGACGGATGACTTCCTCCCTGACTACTGAGCAGCGCCTCCAACACACTCGGTCATATATATTCCCACACACATGCACAGAAACACACACATGGGGCTCATGTGTCCACAGGCTGAACCCAGGAGTGTGGTCACTTCTGGCCTTCACTCTCAGCAGGAAGCTCTGCTGGGGAAATAAACTATCTGGACACTCCCAGGTTCAATTTATTCACTTTGACTGAGTTATTCATTGTGCAAACAACCAGAGTTCCCTCTAACCTTACTTCATGGCCTCTTTGTGGCTTTCGGATGACAACCAGATTTTTACATTGTATCTGCCGCCCCTTAAATTTAAGCTACAATATAGTGGAAGGGACTGCAGCCTGGATTTTGTGTTCCCCTTTCCCCCTTCTAATGGCCAACAGGGGGTGACACACATGTTGCCAAAATAATCAGATTGTGTAGCGGTCAGGGTTTACCTGTGATTGTCAAATTGGCACAGACGGGCATGTAGTGTTCTCGGTTTCTTTGTCACAACTACCTCTTCAAGATGACAAACAAGAGAAGTAAAGCCACAGTGACGACTTCCCCCTTTTATATGTACTAATTAAGAAGTTTAAGTGCAAATGCAAAGCTATAAGCTAATTAAATGGATATTTAAATAGATGGTGTGTTTTTAATGACAGAACTTGTTCTGTGTTGCAGAATTCGCTTCTTGTTGAAATCCCTCCCTACCGAAACCAAAGACTGTCCACTCCCGTCCACGTGAACTTCTACATCTGCAATGGCAAGAGGAAAAGAAGCCAGTACCAGCGCTTCACCTACGTCCCTGCCACCGGTAAACTTGTCTTTATAGTCTGCTATTTATAGGTTTGGTCACCGCTGTCCTTCATAAGATGTTAAACTCCTTTCATATGTTTGCTGTTACAGTGAGTCCATAGTGTGGTGGCTTACACATTTTTTTAACCATACAAAAAGTTCTCTGGTTCAATTTCAGGGGAAGCTCCAAATCCCTGTAGGCTCGTAAGAGCCAAATCAAGCCACCTACATATGCTCTTACAGTGAGGGATGCTCACTGCTCATAAAACGATGCTCATAAAAATGGCTAAAGTTCAAAATAGTCTGTCAGTCTATGTTCACTCTTAGCCAGAAGCTTTGTTTCAAGTTGCCTTTTTCTAGTCCTGAATCTGGTTGTGAGCACACAAGCCCCACCCACCTGCTGTCAATGTTTAGAGGAGCAGCCAATCAGAAGAAAGTCACTTAAAACATTTATCTCAAAGCTTTTCCGGACCCTTTTTACTAACAATAAAAAGTGTGAGCACCACAGCATTGGAAAAAATGTCAATTTTTTTTTATTCATTAAACATATTTTTTGTAGTGGCTCTATACCCCACAAATTAGGTCCAAATCATGAGAACTACCATCTTAAAGGGAGGGGGGAAGGGATCTAAAGCAACTTGTTTTAGCCTGAACATGAACTCTGGATGAATTTATTTTGAATCAGCAAAATATTCTCTGTGAATGGACATTAGCATAGTGGATCCACTTTATGTTGTAACTTCTTTTTCAGCAAGTTTTGATGTGATGAAGCTGCAAAAAAAGGGGAAAATATAGTGTGAATAAGGTAAAAACTGTCTTCAGATATATGTTAAGCCGGGGGTCAATAGTATCACTCACCATTTAATCTTGTTCATGTTTTAATAATTAAAAAAAAAACAGCTGCTTTCATTATCGTTTAGTGTAGAGTTGAGTTTTTGCCAATTTAACAAAACAGTCCCGTCAGCTTGAAACCCAAATAGTCAAACCATTTTGGTCACAAAGTAAAATAAAATATACATATATAACCCTCCATTAATCTCCAGACTTTTGGTTAATTTTTTGTTTTTGACTTTTTTGTCACCATGCCAGCCCCTCACTACTCTCAGTCTGCTCTTTTCCTTCCACATCACAGACTAATTAGAAACATTTTCGCTGGGATTTTACTTCTGAAGACGAGAACAAACAGTTTGTATTCCCCCCTTGTCTGGTGGTTTTCTAGGGAGGAACAAAGCAACGCTATTATTCCTCCATTGTAAAAAGAAATCCATAAAATCTGTTCTTTTCCATACCTGTTGCTGCATGAATGCTGAGGCAACTGGACACACGAGGGTGGGGAAAGGGGCATGGGAAAAACATGTTATTTGAATAGAGAGCCTTTTGCCAAGCTAAATATAAACATTGACCCACCAACTGAAATGTAAAAACCACTGCTAATTGCACTCCAGGCTTGGAGTGAAAATCCAGTGGGTGGTTCAAAGCTGCGATTCAGCTGAACTGGCCCGGCCCTGTACGTGGGCGACGGAGTGCCCCGCCGTGAAAGTGGAGCATTGTCCTCGGGCTGCAGAGTGTAAGGGAGTGGACAGACTGTGGGACAGCAAGTGTGGTCAGTGTCTCCTAGAAGGTGAAAGCTTTTAAGGCAGCAAGCCAGCAGGCTGAACAATATAATCTGCCAGTCTTCTAGAAAGGGAGAAAATCATTGAGAAAGTTTAAACAAATGGACAGACTGAGTAAAAACACAGCTGGAAAAAATGATCAAGGCCTCAGTTCCTCAATGAGATGTCTGGACAGAATGCAGTCATTTCCCAATCTTTTCAACCTGATGGTTAATTGAAAATAATACAAAGACAACCTTTCAGATGTTGAGGCTCAATTGTTTTATTGTTTGCTAAAAAAATACTCGTTTTGAATTTGATTACAGCAATTTGTTTAAGAAAAGGAGGACTGAGGGAGGTCTTTGCTGCACTTTTGAAAGTAAAAGTTCCCCATTTTTCCTAAATATGGGATTTTCACCCCAGGTGTTTTCTTTGTCATTGTTTTTTGTTTCATAAAGCGCCAAATGCCAAACCAGGACTGGATGAGCACCAGTTTGGTACCCGCACTCTTTTGCTATGGAGTTGTGCCATTGTAACGTGAGCAGGCTGACAGTTAAATGATGTAGCATTAATGAAGCCTTCACAGACGTGCGAGTAAGATGGACCCCCGATGTCATCACTGATCCTTGAAGGGTATTGTGTCAGTGTTTTCCAAAAACAACCTAAGATTTTGAAGTTTTCCCCTTCACCCAAGTTAATCTAAAAAGAGAAGGCAGCAGCATTTATGGGGTTTTTTTTAATATCTGTTCTTCACATCTGACCTGACGATCACAACCATTCACTATTTGGCGTTGTTTTCAGCATCGTCTTTGACTGAAATCTGGAGTTTTCTGCAGATTCTTTGGATCATTTGATGTTAGTATGAACGCAGATGATGAAAGGTTTAGATTGAAAAGCTTATTCTCATGTAGTCTTTCACAGTATCTATATTTTGAAAAGCAGTTTTTACACATCGCTAACATGTTGGGGGCTGTGTAGAGCTTTTTTTTAGCATTACAACCCTTTTCCAGTCTTTTGTCGTCCTCCAACATTTTTAAATGCATTGCTGACGTCAAATTCAAAATGCGCGTGATTTTTTTTTTCAATCACATTTCTAAATTTGATGCGTTTAAGCGAAATAATCAATTAAAGAAATCTGTAAATCGTTTTGTTCCGCTCTGATTTACGCCTCAGGTTTTTTGCTTCTGTTTTGAAGAAATCACATCTGTACCTTTTTCTCTTTTTTTCATCAACAGCAGGTGTTTCAACAGCTCACACAAAAACAACAGATTTATTTTGGGACACGTAGTACACACATGGTTGATCTTCTCACTCCGGAAACCCAAGGGCAGGCTCTCTTTTCTGGCAAAACAAACTATTTGCACTTCTTCTGCACCCTTCTTTGCACATGCATGCATCTACCCTCCACAAGCAGGCAGACACACTTCCTCCAAACAGACCCAAAATAGGGGTGCGTTTGCTATTTTAGTCGTGCGGTTTGTGTAACTATCTCATTGCAGTTCCTCTTTTACAGTTGTTGACAGGCGAGGCTTCACCATGCATGACACGTCCTAGTTTCACTCCTTTTAATCTAATTAGCCTTTTTATTTAGCTCGGGAACTCCCTCTGAGATTAAAAATATCTTTTTAAAGAGACAACCCCGAGAAAGATGCAGAATTACATAAAATCAGTAGACAGTCGGCAAATCAAACAAGCGTGACAAGAACAAGAAGAATAAAGCATAGGTTATTAAATATTTCAGCTTCTATTTCAAGCACATGCTTCATATTATGATCTAAAATATGCTCGGCAGAAAAAAAGTAGAAGAAATAGATCCAGTTTGATGATGCAGTGATGCAGTTCAGGGTCAAAGCTGTGCTGTCGTGTGCTTGTAACCGCACTGAAACGCTTGTTATATAAGATTGATGTGGTGTCATTGGCTGCAGCTGATTGATGGCCCGCATTTTGAAACTTTGTGTCCAATATGTTTCGCTGTGAAATCTGGACGGATGGCCAAGATGACAGCGACTGAAAACAAGACGTGGCTCATTTGAACTCAGCGTTGGTCCTCCGCAATCCTCCGACACCCCAAAGACCCAATTTCATGTGTTTGCGTTCAGTTAAACTTGCTTTGTCTCGGTGAGGAGGCAGTAATTTTCTTTGAAATTACTGAACCCTGCTGAGCACGAAGCTGCTGCTGCTGCTGCTGCAACATATATCATATCACACATGTACTGTAGTGGATATTAGCACCAGAACAGGATCCAAAGAAAACAGGGCTTTTATTATAGAAGCAGCCAGATTTTTCTCGTGTTGATGACTCATCCCTTTTTTTTACTTCTTTTTTCTACTTTTGTGAATGTTTTCTGTTGGGTGGGGGAGCTCAGGCCCTAACACAGAGACTCATTGATGAGAGTGTTTGTTTGGCAGTGTGTATCCTAGCCACAAACCCACTCACTAACTCACTCGCTCACTCACACTTGCAGGATGGTTGGAATATGTGTTTACTCATTTAGCTTTTCCTTCTGTTTTCCTTCAGTTCCAACAATAAAGACGGAGCCTCGCGATGACTATGATGCTCCTCTGATGTGCACCCAACATGGCCCTGGCTTGTCCTTACTCCCAAAGCCATATTACCCCTCACAAGTCATGGCCCCGATGATGACCTCTGACCTCAGGCCATGTGTTGTTGGCGGGCCTTATTCAGCCAGCCAGCAGAAACTTGCAGCCAAGCCCTCCTCCTCCTCACCTCCAAGCACCAGCCCTAAACAGCACGATCTCCCACCCTCACCCTTCTCAAAATGCCTCCCTGCGAGCCCGGCCGTCCAACAGCCGGGCTCGCAGTCCCCGATCCCGCACGTCTCTATCATTCAGGAGACTCCCGGGCGCTACCAGCCACCCAACCTCTACTCGCCCAGCAGCTGCTCCTCCTCCCCAACCTCGCAGGCCTCCAGCCCGACTGACGCCCCCTTTTCTCCAACCCACTGCATGACACCAGCGCAGCCGGTGAGCGGCAGCACAAGCCCAGCCGCTCAGCAGCACCCCAAAGTGCCAGAGAGGGCTCGCTCTTCCCTGCAGGAGGATGGCAGTCCCTCGCCACTGGCTGTCAGCATCAAACAAGAACCACAAGAGCTGGACCAGATGTACCTTGATGATGGTGAGACTTTTTTTACTTTTACAAGACTTTAAATACTTCTAATCCACTGCATGGAAAAAATTATAGAGCGAAATCCCCATCGAGCCTCCTAATTGATGAAACAATATGGTCTTTATTACCCTCCAGCACAAAACGACCGTACTATATCTCCAGGCACTGATAGCATTTTTGATTATCATATGACTCACTTATCACTTTTGCCAGGAAATTTTTGGCCATCAAATCACAACTTAGAAGTTTTTTCCTCTTTTTTTTGTGTGGAAATCCTCTGACTCATAGTCATTTAAAAGAACAGTTAAACATTTGTAGAAAATGTTTGTTTGCTTTGTTGCTGAGACTTAAGAGATAAGATTGATCTCATTTGTCTTTGGTAAATACAAAGTCATAGCAAGTGGAGGATTTAGGGTTTTATCATAGTAAGGAGAGGGGAAGCGTGGGAAACTACTAGCCTGGAAACCTGGAAGCACAAAATCCTCCAAGCACATCTAAAGTGCACAGACTACACCTTCTTTGTCATATAGTTTGTTGAAATAAAACATTTGCGCTTCAGTAATAAAACTTGTAGTGTAGCTACACCCAAGATCCAAAATGTGTTTCAAAAAATGACTGGTAGTCTCTGTGTGTTAATTAGAGCTTTTCAGACTCAGATCTACATGCCTAAGATGCATGCAGTCAAAAATATGTGGCACAACCAGCAACGTGTGTGTGTGTGCTCGTTTAGCTTTGCTTTTATTCTACTAGCTTAAGCTACAGTCGCACTAGCAAAAACAGTGGTTGAAACCACAACGCGATCAAAATTATAGTGACCATGTGCAATCAACTTGTAATGGCCCTGCTTGAAGTGGTCAGGGATAGGGAACTGGTCTGTGATGACTCCCAGTCAGTTTCACTCTTCAAAGCAGCATTGGTGTATCGGAACAGCGATAAAATGGGGATAAATTGGCAATAAGGCGGTGACAGTCTGCTTCAATCAGTTTTTTAATTAACAGGGTCAAGTCGGCACTTACATGCAATCTGTTTACAGTTAACTGTGGTAAATCTCAAATCTGTTGCAACACTGCCGAGGTGGACTCAACAACGGTGGACTGAGCAGAATCTGATGATGTGAAGACTCCACCGACACACTCCATCGTATTAGGGAACAGCTTAATAAAGCTGTTCCCTAATACTTTAAGTGTCGTGCAGTCTTCATGTCATCAGATCTTTGTCTTCTCCATGCATCTTGGAAGTAGGTGAAGTTTTGCCAGAAACATTTGTTGCAGACTGAGCAGAATCCACACATCAGGCATGACTCTCAGTAACAACTTGGGCCTGATCCAAATGAGGCAGATGTATAAACTCATAAACAAACAGATGCTGTAAGTTAATTTCATTAATGACCAGCACTCTACCAGCAGCTCAGGGAGTGAATGTTGTACGCGCTGTAAGCGCAGGTTTTACTCATGTTTCTCTCTGTGACAAGAGTGAGGCTGAAGAATGAATGTTTATGATATAAGGGTGAAATCTTCTGTTAGAAATTGTTGGCGGCCATGTGAGGTCCTGAGAACTGAGACTCAGGTGGAGCGCGGGATTTATCCAGAGATAAGGTGCTTTATTACAAAGCTTTAATATGTTACGCATACATTTGCTGGTTATGCATCTGCTAGTGTCGCTCCTGTCACTGGCCGATGGAGCAGCCACACCCCTGAATGAAAAGCTCAACCCTAACCTCACCGCCGCATCACTCACATTTAGAGCAACTTAAAACACGTTACATGTTACGAGTGATTTTCACATATTTGTTAGGTCTAAAAGTCAGAAAGTCTGCTGCTGATTTCAGTAAATAGAACAAGATGCCTCCTTTCCTGTACAGGGTAAACAGAAACAAATCCCCCATCAAAGCAAACTGGTTTCTGAGGAATTTTCTCTGTAATATTTCGTAAACTGGCAGCATTTTGTGCTGTTGCATTTTGACATTGTTTCAAATTAAATGTTTAGGTTAAGGGGCAGTAGATAGGAGGTTTCATTCAGCTTTTAACTTTGAGTTTTTGAAGAGGAAACTGTGAGATTGGGAATATTAATATTAATTTAACGAACTTAGCACACTGTAACATTCTGACAATATTCTAACAGATCAATTAATAACTGAGTTCTTTCTGACATTTGTAATACCGCCTATCAAGTAAAGTAAGAGAAAGAAACACGAACGCTGCTGTGTGTGCGGGTCTCAGTGTGGAAAACTCCTCTGCTCAGTATAAAAAGGAAAACCAGATGTATCCTTGTTCCTGCCTCCTTCCAATGCTCCGTTAAGTTCAGCTCAGTTCTGCTCTATTTCAGTAAAATCCCAGCATTACTGCAGAGCGGGAATACGTGTGCCTCGGCTCTAAACACTCCGAGTCAGCACTGAGTAAAGAGTTTTGGAGCTGCGCCCGCAACTTTGAACCATCCAGCCGTGCCAATTACGTACTTGTTCTGATAACATCTCTGTCTTTTATTCCAAATAAATAACCACCGGTAACTCTCACACACATATCGGGGGCAAAATAAAGCCTTCTTTTCAGTGGTAAATTTAGCACAATTTACAGTAAATTTTCCACCACAAACCTCAGTAACTTAGGCTTGTGTGATTCCTTACTCTGTGTCCTCACTTGGAGAAATAAATGACTGAGCAGAGCAGCTTCTCACAGCCGCAGATTGACTCCGACTGAGTCAGTGAGTTGGCATTTTGTCTGCCATTTATAGAGTTGATGGCGATTAATTGCAGACCTTTGCCTGCATTTGATTGCAGTCGGAATGAGTCAGAGAGAGACAGGTTGTCTCCTTCCACACAACCTTGCATGCAATCGCCTTGTGACAAAACAATTGGTCAACCAGAGGACAAGGATGCTGCACGCATCTGATCAGTTTGTCAGTGCAGCTATTTCCAATCAGTCCCACATGATTGGAAGCATTTTATTTTATTGATGTTTATTTGTTTATTTGTATTATTTTTCATTTTGCTGACATGTTTTTCCTCTAGCGTGACTGGGGCCTTAGCTTAGCTGCAGAGAAGGTAGAAGTCATACGAGACAAAGAACATTTTTGTAGCAAAGTGAAACAGTGTTAAAAATAATGACAATGATCAACAGCAGCCATTGTTAGTGCTTTTTTTAATCTTTGATGGATTTTTTTATGCTTCATCCTCTTCATGATTAACTATATTGATCTCTGTTTAAGCCAAATCTGCATTTGATGGTCTACACACAGCTGACTTACAAGAACGTCTCTGTTAGCCTCTGAGTTGCTTGAATTCCTTTAATCCCTTATTTCTCAGCCAAAGAGCTTTGCAACAGACAACATCAGGACAAAAATCTTCTATTATTAGTTCACATCACAGTAAGAATGCACTTAAGCCTTTTCGGCACGTGGCCTTTATAACCACGTTTCTGTTACACGAGCTTAATTTTGCAATGTGCTCTGAACTGCACTGAACTAGAAGTCCCCACTTATCTGGGAGTATATTCAGAGTGACATTCTTACATTCATTTACTTAACCGATTAGCCAACTTATGGTGGCAGGGGTGTTTGAGTCAATCACAGCTGTCATAGGGTACACCCCAGACAGGTTGTTAGTCCATCACAGGACACGTCTACCCCAGAGGAAATCCATACAGCCACACAGACAGCATGTATAGTCAACACAGAAAGGCAGTAGAGCTGTCCACCGCAGCAGCGTGCTACTGCATGCAATCACTGACATGCACTGACTTCTTCTCAAGGTCCCCTCACGTGGTGTAAAACTGCACTTTGTCAATCCTCAGTACAGTCCAAAGAACATCCACCAATGGCCCCACAGATACATTTAGCCAAACCCAGCTATTTTTCTTTGGGTAATCAGTACAAAACTGAAGTGTAATAAGTTTTTATGTCCACTACAAAACATCCTGCTTATATGTCTACAAAAAAAAAAAGAAATCCAAATTTCAGATCCACGTATCAGCGTCGAAATTATGAAAGAAATATTTAAATTCTCACTTTGGGCAGTACTTCCGCACTGTTACAGCTTGTGTCAGTTACAGCCTGCTGAGGCAGTAGATGGTAGTGGGAGTGACGAGACGGTGTGCCAAGATGTTTATCACTGCTGTTGCAATGCTTTAAAGTATTTCTTTCTTCGCTGCCTAAGCTCTGGTGGTCTAGAATTTGATATAATTGACTTTAAACACAGAATAAGACGATTCGGCTCAAACCTCACTGAAAAAATAAATGCCCTTTTTGCATCGCCCTTTATTTATGTCACAGAAGGCAGGATTTTAGTAGCGCTAACTCTGTGATCTCACTGCTCTGGCCCTCTGCGCTCACCACTGAGGTTTTGGGCGCTTTGTGCGCTGCATTGTGGTGATTGGAAATAAATTGGATAAGTGATCTTCCTCGGGGCAGAAAAAAACCCCAGTTTGTGGCTGTGTGTAAGGTCCACAGCGGAAAGAGTTCAGTAGATGAAGAAACACTAACCAGCAGCTATCAGCAGACGGAGCAGCGCAGCTTTGATCCATCACCAGAGCCCCCGCTGAATCGTCTGGCCGAGCTTTGTGATGATGGAGAGTGAGATGCTGTTGTTGGGCCTCAGATTGCGGCACTCAGACTGTTCTCATGCCACTTCCTCCGAACAGTCTGGATAAATACATTATCACTTCTTTACCCCGTCTGCGGTAATATTTGGCAGGCTGGAGCTCCAGATTTGATTTGTTAATGTGCTTTTTTCAGGTTCTAACGTTCCAGCCAGGTGTAGTTAATGAAATCAAAGTATTTAACTACGCCAACACAGTCATAATGGATATTCCTGAAGGGTATCCTTGTTAGACGTGTTTTCGCTGGCAAATTGAGGGAAATTTTGCTAAACATTCCTTCGTTATTGTGGCTTCTCACTTCATTAAACCTTTGGCATGGTTTGATACAGCTTTACGGCCTCGCTCAGGTGTGATGTCGAGCGTGCTTGTTAAACCACAGACATCCGTATCTGAGGCTTTTTTGCTCATACAGAGTCCTTTCTGAAATATGATCGCGGGTAGATTTTATTTTTTTTAGTATATAACGAGTAGTCTTTGCTCAATTTGATTTAATTTCACAGAAATTTAAACACTTATCCTGTTAAACAGCCACACTATGCTTCATTTTTAACTGAAAGTGGCACAGGTGGTTTTCGTCTCCCTCTTCCACTGGTACTGTTTTCGTCTTATTATCCGTGTTTGCGCAGCCTCTAATATTCATCAGGACCCCCCTCTGCTGCGCATTTTTTCACACCGTCCCCCGAGAGGCCACAAACATGTCTGTTCGTGGAAAGTCTGACTCGCGTAGTCTGGAGCCAAAGGTACAGTATAGGCTGCAGGGTGCTGCTGAGGGAGATGGAGGTCTGCCACACTGCTATAAAACTTGCTGACTGGAGAGGTTTGCATGCTTCCCTTTAGCTCAGAATGAGTCTGGATGAGGTGGCGAAAGCCATACGTTATACTGCACAGTAGTGTGTCCAACACTTTTGTCAGTGGTGAGGTAACACGAGCAAAGCATTTGAGCCCGATGTGAGCCAGCGCATTATGAAATGCTTTTTATGGCGTGTTGTGGCTTGTTAGATGTCAGAAATGTACAATTGATGACCAGAGATTTAGGCTATCAGAGGAAAAATATTTTGGAATAAATCTGTGAGTCATACCTGACTCTGTTAAATCACTCAATTTTATACAGTAAAAGGCAGTTTTACAAATTTTATTATGTTTAGAAGGAATTGTTAGCTTTCTTTTTATTTGTTTGTGCTCTATTCACCGATATTCACATCTGCCATGTGTTACTCATTGCTCATTTACTGGTGCATCATTAAACTCAATAAAAAGCACACACAAAATATGTTGTAATGCAGTGGAAAAGTCCCAGGGTAAAGATTTATCTTAATTATGTAAAGTTTGGTGCAGCGGTTAATACTGTCGCCTGCAAAACTGCACCTTTCCTCGTCGTGTGGAGTGAGTGCCCTGGTGTCCTTCTGCAGTCCAGAAACAGTTTATTAGATTACCAGGTGATTCTATGCACTGAATACCTGCCTGAGGTGATGGAGACGAGTGAAAATAGATGTAGAGACTACTTTACGAATTTGGTAAGGCAGTTATAATTGAAGAGGCGGTCTTTACGGTCTAAAAAGTTGCTGGGAATCAGTGTGTGTGACAGAAGAAGCATTGAAGCTACAGTGTAAAAGACACTGGATTTACATATGTGTCCTTTTGATGAGCTTTTAGGTTAAAGCACTCTATGAATGCAGTCTTTTTGCTGCTGTAATTGCTTTTTCTCTCCTTTGCCTAAGTTATACTGAAAGATGAATCCAACCTTTTTTCTGTCTCGTGTGCAGAGACAAACTAACATTTATTGATCGGCACTAAATGCAAAGTGCAGCTGAGGTTTAGAGGAATGTTATTGGTTTTACAGATACTTGGATTTAGATACCAGAAAAACGAATCTTTGTGACTTTGTTGGATCACCATGTTATTAAAATTCACCCCGATAGCATCCATCTCCTCCTTCCTGAGACATTTTCACTAAAAAACAAAAATATCAACCTAACGGTGACAGTAGATAAAAAGTCAGGCCATCGCCGGAGTCTGTTAGACTCTTCCTACGAGGGCCATAACTGCCTGCAAGGAATCTACAGGCGATCTGTCCAAGAGCTCTTGAGATATTTCAGTCTGGACAGAGCGGCTCTGGCGTCCTCCGAGGCTGCTGCTGGCATGGCTAAAGACGATTCCACATTTGAACTAACAACATTTGGCGAAAATGTCGACAACCAAAATTTGACAAAGGATATAAATACAAGATCACGGTTTCCTCTCCCTTTCTGTAATTCTATTTTATTTAGACATAAAAAGTTTCCAGTAATCTATTGTTCAGACATTTTAAAATAATACCTGAGTTTAAAAGAAAAACTTGGCTGAATCTGTGGTGAACTACAGAACCGCTCTGTGGGACTGACTTGCAGTAACCCAGTAGGAGCCTCATAATGTGGGCCAAGAACATCTTGTGGCTTGTGGCCTGGATTTGACGTGGCAGTAAACTGGGGGAGGGTTCGTGGTGTTTTCTGCCCCCCAACTTTTTTTTTCTCATTGTATCAGCGCAACTCTCCAAGCCTGACGTATTCCCTTCGTTCAGCGAGGCTGCTGGATATCTCGCTGCCGGATCGCCTCGTCTGTAGCCTTGTATTACTACAGGCTGGTTCGTGTTGGCAGCTTCCAGCCTTTAATGAGGCAAACAGCGCTGTCCTGCTAATTGTTTGGGAGTTCCTTGGGGTTTCCTGGTTGGAGAGCCGGGCTATATCAGTCCAATCCAGCTGCTGTCAGCCACCATGGGAGAGGAAACCAGTTCCTGGATTACTTCATATCAAACCCCAACATCCACGCTCTACAGCAGATGTAACGCTTGATAAAGATTGCCTCAGTATCTTCCATTAAATCATATTCATATTGATGATTATCTTTGAGTTTGGGTTAGAGTTAGATGCATGAACATGCCGGTAAAAGTATTTATTATTTAAAATAAACTCCTGATCTTAATCAAAAGATTAAGTTGTTGTCATGTGAAAATTTGAAAAATGAAAACTTGAGTAATTCAGTGACGACTGAACCAAAGCAGCATCTGCTGATAATGAACATGTGATAAGACTGAAAGCCTCAAGGCAGCTACTGAACAGAGCTCGTGTTTATTTTAGAGCCTGCCCAATACTCCAAGTTGTGGCTGATGCTAGTGCCTATATTGATTTTTGGAACCCAAAAATGATCCATCAATATGTCAGCTGATATTCTTTTTAGACACTCGAGCCGGGCCTGCTGTTGTCAGTTAGTCAGAGCATGTTTTGGCATTTGTTAGGACCCAGACGCTCCTCCCCATAGCTCCTCCTTCAGCTGCTACAGGGAAAATCGAGGCCTTTCAAAGTCAGTTGGCAGACATAATCCGTCCATCGTGTCCTGGATTTGTCTTGGGCTTGTTTCCTAGTTGGAGAATCTCAAAACATCTCACCTAGAAGGCGTCCAAGATTCATTCTAATCAGATGCTTCAGATCAACATACTCTGTTAGAGAACAACCCCTCGTGAATGAATGAATGAATTAGTCACTCATTTCAGCTGCTCCTTAATCACTCCTGGTTTCTAGTCGTACACTATTCACAGTTTAAGTCCATAGGTGAGGGACGAACAATAGTAAAGGTGACCAAACCATCAGTTTGTGTCCCCCACCTTACAAAGAAATCCCCAAGATACTTGAAATCCTCCTTTCAATGCAGAGCAGAAAATTGGCCTTTTCCATCCGAGAAAACTTATTTCACAAGCTGCCGTGAGCTTCACTCGGTAACCCTGTCTGCCCTGTCTGCTGCAAATAACCCACAGTCAATGCACTGATGAGTATATGCCTATACTGCTACAGGCTATCTTTAATAGATCAAAATATCAAATATATTAACCACTATAATGCTTCAATTCAATTTCTTTGATTTCTTCCACGAAAATCTTGTTTAGCAACCTCCCTTTCCAGATTATGGCGTAAAAACAAATTTAGTTCCCTCAAAGTTTTGATCAAAACCACATATTTATGTCCTTTTGTGAAATAAAATAAGGGCAGATGTTACCATGCGTCTCTGTGTGTTTGTGGACTTGTTTGAAGCGTCTCTGTCGCTCAGCTCTCTTAAGCAAATCAATGTGACCCACATGACACAGATGTCACACTAGTGCTGGGCCTATTTTTAGAGCTTTGTTGTAAACACACTTAGAGATCGATAGATTGACTTTATTTTTTCTTTCAATTAGACCCTCCACATCAAATGTGACACCACAACGAAAAGTAGGCCATGGTAACAGGCACATAAACAGTACATGCCGTGGCCTCACTGAGGCAAACGATAAATTTTTACTGCCTGCCCTTCCTTTGTTTCATATCAGAATAAACTGAATTATGTCTTTTTTACTGTTTCAGTCTCATGTGAAAGCCATTGAGCCAGATGTGGCGCATGATGATGCGTAAGAAAAATATCTGCACGGCATAATTCATCCATGATTTGGATAGTTACCGGACAGGTGATGACATGATGTGGAGGCCTGACGATGTCTTGATGTCCTAAATTTACAGCCGGCGGCCTGGCTCGACGCGCGCGTTGAGAAGTCGGTGTAATAACGTGCCCCTGAGGCCTGAACTCGGCTGTTATATCCTTCCACCTCCAGATGCACAGAAGGTCAAAGCCAGATCAAATAGAGGAGAGGAGGTCAGTCGGTTCAGTCGGGCCAGGAGAGCACACATGGCGGTGGAGCGACAGACTGTAGGAGGGTGGAGATGAGGTTTGGGAGTTTATTTCTTCAGGTTCAAGTATGTCTTCTGGTAACACCGGTCTCACATTCGCATGAGTGGTGGCAGTACGCTGTCCTGGTGACGCACGTCAAAAGCATCTCGCCTTACCATATGCACACAAGAACAGACCGTTCTGATTCTACTGTTACAACAACAGAACCTGAAGCTAAATTCTGGAGAGTTTAGATTGCGTGCAGCCAAGTCAAGCCTCCTTCAAGACGATTTCATGACCTCAGCTGCAAGATGGAGTCCACTGCACAAGAAGTCACTGCCGGTTTGCACTGATGAATCATTAGAGGCTTTGCAACGAATTTCAAATGAAGCACGAATAAAAGTAGCCGATGATTAGCTGTAGGTTTATTTTCCAGTCTTTTTCCTACATTTGCTGAGGTGATCAACTTGTCAACGTTGTTTAAGCACCAAAACTGTGCTGCTGTTATTGCGCAATGTTCGGCTATGTCGTTGATTTAAATTGTTGCTGCCGCAGTCATAATTTTCACGATGCCAAGCAGGTCTGACAAATGGTTCAATTTTCAAGGATAAGTAGAAAATCCTTAAATTTGAAAAGTTGTAGTCAGCAATATTCTGAGTGAAGAAAAATGCCTTGATTTATTATTTGAACTTCAGCACGTCATCCTGACCACACGCCTAAATGCACTGAGTTGAGTTTCTGTTTGACTGGCTGATTAGTTATTTGTGTTAATGAGCAGCAGAACAGATGTTCTTAATAAAGTGTGTGTATTTTCATTTTTATGGATCCGCTAATTCATTAACTGGCAAATCATTTCAACCCCGTTCATCAGCATGCAGCTAAAACCTAAAAGGTTCCTTTGCAGCCTTCTGTTTAATGTCTGCAAGATGATTTTGGTACAAAAGTGAAAGATTGGATCAAATACCTTTGACCTAGAAGAAGAGGAAATGTGAAGATTTTACCTCTAATTTTACATTTTAATAATGCCGGGGAAGCTTGTCGACAGGAAGTGATTTAAAGCACCTGCTGCCTTGCCTCCTTGCCTTTCCCCGACTTTGTTTCTTATGAGGACACATTGCTGTGAATCTCAGCCTCATATTTGCATAATAGCTTCAGTGTGTCCATGTGTTTCTGTGCTACGAGCAGGAGTTACCGCTGCTGTACTGTAGATATCAAACATGCCAAACAGACCTCATTGTTCCTTTATTAATCGCAGTCCGTCAGCGAGCCAAGCACATTTACTTCATGTCTAGACGAGCGTAACGTATCTCTCTGTAATTGTAAACAGCTTCGGTGAGAATCTAGATGATTTTGGCGTTTTGGTACGAAAGTTTTGCATCCACACATTTAGGTGATTATGACACACTTTTATTATTTTGTTTTTCACCATGACAGCCTCCCACGCACACTGATTCCTTTTTGGTGGGTATGTGTGTATGCTGACATTGAGCAACACATGCAACCCATTATATTTTTGCGATAGGAAGTGTGGGGTATTTCTGGTAGGAAGTGTCCGTGCCAGTGCTGGGTCACTGAGGAAAGAGCTGCTCTGTTGCCTGCAATGAAAATAGATGTTTTTAAGAAGGAAAAAAAAAACATCTTCCATTGTGTGTGTGTGTGGGGGGGAGGCTGCTGCTCTGACCAGCCAGACAGAGGGAATTCCTCTCTCAGCCCTCTGGCTTGGTTTCTTCAGGCCAGATCCAGGGGTCTTCCCCTTCCCCTCTCACATTTCTCATCATTATGAAAGGGGAGCGGACGTGGGCTTAACCTAGATGCTGGGTTAAACCGTAAACAGCAGACTAATGAGGGAGAAACTGACTTCCAAGTAATAAATGTGTTTACATTCACAGTTTAAAGAACGGTAAAAATCAAGACAGACGAAAAACAACACAATCAATTATAGTAACCAAAAATGACTGATGTCGGCGCATTCATATGTACGTATAGGTTGTTCTTGTGTAGCAGCTACAGTCAGTCAGACTGTGTAGCTGCTCTTTGAACACGGCACACCATCTGTACACAGCTGATAAAAACAGATAAACAAGTGCACCTGGAGGCAGCAGGATGTTGCATCATCTCTCCTGATAAAAAATGCCTGGGGACCTCCAGTGTAAAGTGATTCTATCAGACTGACTCAGAGGAAATAACAGGTTCTGTATGGCTCAGAGGAGTTTTGCTCACACTGGCAGAAATAGCACCTTATAGATGTACTAACAAGTGTATAATAGCCTTGTGCAATGAGAAAAGCAAAGTTTTACTAAGCACATTTACTTTTTCTGGGCTCTCTAGTTATCCTTATAAGGGCATCATTTTTTAAAAATGCATGTATTTGATGAACCCAACAGCTAACAGGCAAAGTTAGACCAAGACTTTAAAAAACAAAAACTTTATTAAAACCTTCATTTTTTTTCATAAAGCTTATAGATAGAGCTGGAAGCTTTGCTCCTATAGGCTCAGACAGCTGGGGAGCTTCATGTTATACTCTGTGATGTACTGAGCATTTCTTCTCCTCCTTTCGCTCCCCAGGTGTTTATATGTCACTGCTGCATGTGTTTTTCCTGTCTCCCTATGCTCTTTATTTTCTTCCTAACAGAAAAAAACCTCCTGCAGACCCAGGCTCGGGGAGGTGCCCCTTTGAGCCTGGGAGGCGTCTCCTAGTGCTGCTTAAAGGAGATTGTCTGATTGTAGGGGGTTTTCTCCGTTACTGCGTAGCTTCTTACGTTGCAGCACCTTTAGGAAGCTGTTGGTGTGATTTGGCACTATATAAATAAATTTGAATTGAGATGAATGAAAACTCTGTGTGTGTTAGATGTTATAAAATGTCAGTGTTTGTTTTTGTGTGATTGCTGAAACTATTTCAGGCTCATCTTATGCAAACTTGCTGCAAGAATTAAATGAACATTAGAAATTCAAAAGTAATAATAAAAATGAGCCAAGAATTAATCCGTGTGTTTTAAAGACTTTATCAGGTTTTATCATGAATGTTTATCAGTTGACATTTTTGTGCTGAACTTTACTGCACCAACTGTTTTTCTTGGTTTTTATTTGCTGGTTAAATCAATGCACTATAGCCTCTTTGTTAGGTTCAGAATAATTCCCTTCAGGAGCAGTAACCCTGCCAAATTAACACTGTGTGCATAAAGGTGACACACTGCACACTTTGATGAAAACACTCCGAGACAAAACTGCGAAAAGAACTGAAAAGTGACCAAAAAAACCCCCATTGCATCAATGTTTCAAGTTCGGACTGAATAAGAAGCGAAAAAGAGACTTAGAACGGGCCTTTTTAGGTATTTTGGAGGAAACCTGAAATCCTGATCATCCTTTTCTCTCTTTTCCTTTTGCAGTAAACGAGATCATCAGGAACGACCTGTCGAGCATCTCCGTCCACAGCCACGCGTAATTTCCCGTCACCACCACCAGTGACAGGATTTTTTTTTTAAAAAGGGAAGCACCAAATGAATTTGACATTATGCTCCACATGTTTGGACTAAGGCATGCAGGAAGCAGCAAAAGGAAACGCAAGGAGAACAATTCTAAATGTATTGTCCAGATGATCAGGGTCCAACGTGTGCCTTGTTTTTCATATATAATAACCTATCCAAGGTATAGATTACATGACTGACATGTAAGTTAAGTATGTAGCAACCAAACCTGCCATTTCCAGCCTTTACAAGAAAGTGTGCTTTTAGAGGACCAAGATTTGCTTTGTTGTTGTTGTTTTCTTTGGGGTTTTTTGTTGTTTTGGGGTTTTTGTTTGTATGGCTGCGGTTTGTAAATGAGTCGGCGCCCATGAGTTGTGTCATTTGTATATAAATTTGGATGTGTAGTGCTCCAGTTTGCATATCTGGCTTTACAGAGAAACCATTTAAAAGACAAGTGCCTTTTTGACTGGAAGCAAAAAGACATGGCCTTGGCTTCACATATTCAACCTCAAAATTTCAAATTAAATATATTTTAGGGGCAACTTAACTTACATTTTCCTGAACAGTGGATACTGTGGGAAAAAGTGACAATTAAGGGATTATGGCGAATGCAAGAAGATAGAGTACATGCAGTGTAACTTGCATGTAGTCAGCAAACTATGTTGTCTGTTATACTGTGATGTCTGTCTGGAGTTCAGCCTTTCATTTTGGAAATGGAAAGTTGGATTTTTCCCCATCATCATACTGTGCAGACATAATTTTCTTGCAGAGAACCAACAACAAGCACTTATCTACTAAACTAGTGGCATTTCCTGTCAATGTTTCATTAATGCAGGGGTGGAGCCAAGGACAGCCAAAGGTGAAGCCAACCAGGACTTCGAAAAACTATAAACAAAAAAAATGGCACTAGAGACATAGTCCTGGATGAACTGAAGCCGTATCCCAAAAATGAAAGTTTGCAGGGTAAAAGTTTTTCCTGACAGACTATAGATGTAGTTCAATTTGTATGTTGTAGTTAAATACCTTTCTGTGTGTCAGCACTATTTGACACATTATGGTAACTGCTGTATTGATTTCAGCCATGAAGTGGGCAGCAGCGGCGTCCTGACTTAAATCCTTAACAGACAACTAGCAAATGGCTAGTGTTTTGGGCAAAATTGGTTTCCTTTCAGAAAAACCAAAAAGCATGAGTGTCATTTTATTTCAATTAGGGCATACACCTTATGAACAAAAGCACTGGACCACCTGCACATTACACTTACAGGAGCTGCTCAGCCATTAAAACCCACACCACGAAACTCCTGGTACACAGTTTTTGCGCTGTTAATGTGAGAGGAGGTTTGGAGCTCTGCAGTTATGCGTTGGCGACTTGTACCCAGAATGCACAGCAAACCTGCTCTGTAGCTTGACGTGGTCTGACACACCTCCGCTTTGCAGTAATACAACTTATAGTTGATCGTGGAGGGAAGAAAGCAACTGACTTGTTTGTAAGAGTGGCATCCCCTTACAGTACCACACTCAAATTCAGTGAGCTCTTTAGAACAACACATTCATTCACAAATGTTTGCAAAGGCAGACTGCATGGCTAGGTGCTTAATTTCATACACCTGTGGCAATGAGACTGAAAACACCTGAACGATTGAGAGCTGTGTCCCAATACTTTCATCCATTATCGGTACTGTATCAGCAAAAAGCAAAGTAGAAATGGGGGTTTTGTCTAGCATGCTTGTATAAATAATTATCTTAGCCATCCACTGAATCCTAATCATTGATGACTATCTGTTGCAAGCCCGGCTGCAAACCAGTTTTTGTGCAATAGCATTAATAGGAAGTGGAATACTTCTCTTTGAATGGCTCTCAGCTTGTTTAAGAGGGATGCAAATAATCACAGAACTGGAGTTACATTTAGTAACCTCTATTTTTCTAGCAGAACTTCTTTTGTAAACACCACGACCATTTTAACAGCTCATCCATCAGTTGAAATTGTAATTATCTTATGAACTTTAGCTTCAATTTAGCAGCATAAGACTTTCTAATTGTAACTGAGTGTTAAATGAGCCCTCATAATGTGCTACTACATGCCTGCATAAGCAAATGATAAGTGACACAAAAAAAATGCTAAGCTGGAAAAATAAATAGTCATCTGTTTCAGCCTGGCCACCCCATAAACTTGTCTGGCTCAGCCACTGCATTAAGTTGACAAGTCATTTCCTCCAACCCAGCCGTTAACTGCTTTTTACACCTTTTTTTTAGT